TCTGCTGGACAGGGCGCTGTTCCCTGAGACAGCAGTTCCTCCATCCCTCTGTCCGTCCGTCCCGGTTAAACCCCCCCTACGAAGCTGCACGCTCCTCTACTTTCCCACTGGAATTTCTCGGCAGCTTCTTAGAGGACACAGCCGACTCCTGCCCTATAGCACTACTGGGGGGAGGACTGGGGATACCCCCTGCCCCCTCCCTGCCTCCAGCCTCTCCATGTATCCCACCGTGAGGTGTGGGGATCCAGTGCATGAGGCTGCCCTGGGACAGGAGCACAAAGCACCCATCTTAAGGGACGAGGGCAATTAATAAATATCCCAGCACTCACTAACTGGCATCAAAGCAATGACCTGCCCCCCTCCAGCAGCCCCAGCCCACCCACACCCTTCCCTGGGTCCAGAGGAATAGAGTTGGGGTGCCAGCCCCCCCCCATGGGCATCCCGAGCCCCGTGGTGAGCTATGCCCCACACAGGCTGTGGCAACAGCGCCCTGAGCCACGACCTGCACGAGCTGGGCTACACCGACGTCACCAGCATTGACTTCTCCCCCGCCTGCATCGCCGCCATGCGCGCCCGCTGTGCCCGCTGCTGCCCCGGCCTGCGCTGGGCCGTCATGGACATCCGCGCCCTCGCCTTCCCAGATGCCTCCTTCGACGTGGTGCTGGAGAAGGGCACTCTCGACGTGCTCATGGTGGAGGAAACCGACCCCTGGAATGTCTCGCCCCAGGCAGCTGCCTCGATGCGCCGGGTGCTGGCGGAGGTACGGGCTGGGGGGAGCTGAGCAGAGGGGCAGAGGGTGGACCCCCACCCCTCTTTGGGGTGGGGGAAGGTGCAGAGTGCCTGCTCACATCCCTACTTCCCTGTGAGTGCCCCAGCCAGTGGTTCTGCCCTGCCAGTTGGTGCTGCCCCCTCAGCTATGCTGCAGGGGGACACCTGGGGGGCTACCAGCACCCCTGGGGGTGGGAGACCCCCACTCTCATCCCCCAGCACCTCCTCTGCAGGGAGGTGGATGGAGCAGGTTGTGTCCCTGGGTCCTGTTGAGGGACTGGATAGCCCCTGTCTTTATTTGCACCCTAAATATGAAGAGTTGGCAGGAAAAATGAGCCCCATCCAAGTGTGGGTGGCAGCAGGGGACCTGGGGGGACATGCCGAGGTGGCCCTGCCTGCCCAGGGCAAGGTGACGACTGCGGGGCTGTGACAAGCTCTCACCCCGCCCCAGCTTCGATCTTCTTAGCCGGGGTCCCCATCATCTGGTCTGGGGTTGCCATGGCAACTCCAGTCAGCATCGACAGGGCCATGGTGTTGCCACGGGGACAGGCGATGCCTCGGGGCCCCTGTTAATTGGCGGTGGTGGAGACAGGGACCGGATTGAACCTGCCCTGGCGTGGGGGTGCAGGTCCTGACAACCTCCCCTCCCCTGCGGGAAGAACTGCCAGGATAATTAATTGCTGTGCCTGCCTGGCACCCTGGGGTGCAGACACGGGGTGCTGGGAGGGTGCTCATGGCTGTTGACACCCCCTCATCCTCTCTTGCCCCACTGAGCCTGGGAGGGAGTGGGACCCCCAGCAGGGCAACAGGGCTGTGCTCATCATCCGTGCCCTGCACTCCCTGCCAGCTCTGCTGCCTGTCCTTGTCATTTTGCCAAATGGCAGGGATTTAATTTTCCCTTTTTTTTTTCCCTTTTTAATCCCCTGCTCAATCCCTGCCCTCCCCCAGCATTGCTGGGTACCAGCCTCCACCCGCAGCCGGTCCCTGCTGTCCTCATCCCCAGGGGGATTCGCTGGGTGTTCCCACTTGCTAGCTGCTTTGGAGGTCCCTTCAGAGGGGTCTGGCCAGGGCATCTCCCCTCCCGCCCCCATCCCGTTTCTTGTGGGAGGTTCACAGCATCTGTCTTGCTCTTGCTCTCCCTGGAGAGGGGACATAAGAACCTGAAAATCCACCCTGCCTGTGGGGAGTCCCCAGGGATACCCCATCCCGGCAATCCGGGGGCAGCAAGTGTGGCGGGCGCCGGAGCAGGGAGCAGCCCCCGCAGCCCCCTTTCCCACCCCCAGGCTCTGGCTGGCGGATGGAAAGGTTTCCTGTTCCCGTCTCTAAGCAACGGCCGTTATTGCTCTATTAACGAGGGATGGGATGCGGACATGCGGGATGCCTTGCTCGGCTCCAGCCGGATATCCCTGTCTACCCCCAGCCCCGGGGACCCCCTTCCCCGCTCATCGGTTGGGAAGCTCTGGGGTCTTCCCAGGGCAGATTTTCAGGCACTTCCCAGGAGGGATGCTGAGCTGGGTGCCCGGGGAGGGATGCAGGGACCTGCCTTCCCCTTTTCCTGGTCAAAACCACTAAGGTTTAGTACAAAATCCACTAATGCAGCAGGGGAGGACACACAGGCTGCCTGTCCCCTCTGTTCCTGGCCCCAGCCAGTGCTGAGCTGTGGAGCTTCCCAGCAGGATTAAACCAGAGCTTGGGAAACCCCCCACTTGGCCCCCAGCCCTCTCCCTGCAGCGGTGACTCTCTGCCCTTGCCGGGGGGGCCTGGGGGTGTCCCCGCCTGGGGCAGGGTGGCCGGGGGGGGACCTGGCCACCCGCCCGCCTAGGGCAGTGCCTTTGCATGCAAAGCACGCAGGCGCTGGCCGTAAAAGCCTTTTGACATTGGATAAAGCCAAGCAAGAAAATTGATGTTCTTTTCCATCCTGTTAGCGGGGCTTAATTCCAGCAGGGAGAAAATGGTGATTAAAAGGGTTGAATCCTTTCCCATCAAACACCCCTTGCCCTCCCCCATTAGATTCTGGGTATTGGCAGGGGGTGGTACTGGGTGCCACAGAAAGGGGTGGGTGGGATGGGCATCCCATGCTGTGCTGAGGGGCCCCTGTGCCCAGGAGGGCAAAGCTTTTCCCCATGACAGGGTTGGGTTTCCATGCTGTCTTCTGTGGGTGGGGGTGAAGAGTTTTGGGGTGTGTTCCTTATTACCACCAAGCTGTGGGTGATCTGGGGGAAGGTCAGAACTGGGGGTGTGTCTCTTGGAGGGTCAAGGTTAAGATAGTGGATTTTGGGGTGCAATGGGAGAGTTTTGGGGGGGGATCTTTAGCAGATGGTGCTGGGGATCCCTGGTAATGGAGCCAAAGGGGTAAACCTCACTGTGTCCCCACACCCCATCCTGGGGGTTCTCTTGCCACAGGTGAGCCGGGTGCTGCGCCCAGGGGGCTGTTTCCTCTCCATCACCTTCGCCCAGCCCCACTTCCGCAAGCCCCACTATGCCCAGGAGGCCTTTGGCTGGTCCCTGCGGCACACTGCCTGCGGGGACGGGGACGCCGGCGCCTTCCACTACTTCCTCTACATCATGCGCAAGGGGCAGCCTCTGGACCCCCGTGACGTGGCCTTGGGGCGCCGGCTGCACCAGCCCCTCCCGCCCCCTGTCCCGCCGCTGCCCCCCGCCCCCCCGGACGACGACGAGGACTACCTCCTTGCCATCCAGCTGTGACCCAGGGGGGCTTCTCTGACCTCTCCCCACCCAACAAAGCCTTAAGCTGCTCCATCTTCACAGGCAGGGGATGGGGAAGCAGTGTATCACCCCCCAAAAGCTGCCCAGTGAGTGAGTAATGGGGGGATACTTGGCCTCCTCCCGAGGGGCAACGGGATGCTCTGGTGATGCTGTACTCCCTCCCTGGCCTTTCCTTGCCTGGCTGGAGAGCAGCCAGGACTCCGGGCTTTGCGGCCGGTAATGAAACCAAATCGGGTTTAATTCCACCCATCCATCTTGTGGGGAGTGGCTCCCTGCCCCCCCGTCTCTTCCCCTTGGCACAGGCAGCTGGGCTAAGGGCAGAATGAGGATGCTGGCACTGGGTGCAGGGGACAGGATGGGGGGTGCCCACTGATCCACCCCCCCACCCCATCGTGCACCAGGACCCCTGCCCCAGCCTCCTCGGCTATGGGGGGATGCAAGGACACCGTGTCCTTGTCACCCCCAGCCAGGTGGTGGGGGGTCCAGGCTGGGATGTGCCAGCATGGGGCAGGGAGCACCACGGGGCAGGCAGGGTGGCACATCTGCCCCTGTACCCCTCCATCCCCACTCTTTGGCTATGGTGACAACCCCGGTGTGCTGCACACGCCTGGCCCACATCTGCCAGTGCCTTGGGGCCAGCAGCGCGGTGACAGGCATGTGCCAGGGCTGGTGACAGGCATGCCACCGCGTGCTGGCAGGGCTGGCTGCACACGGGTACCGGCGTGGCAGGTGTAGGTGCTACCAGGGTGTCACCAGGGGCTCTCTGGCTACCAGCGCTCCCTGAGGGGGGCACAGAGGGGACCCCTCCTCGGCAGGGCAGTGGTGACAGACCACAGAGGCGCAAGCTGCTGGGCTGCTGTTTCTGCAGAAAGGTGTAAGTGCCTCAGCTGGTGGCTCCCCCCGCACCAGGAAACAGCAAAGGGCTCTGGGGTCAACACCCCACCACTCCCACCATGGCACCCCATCCCGCAGGCACCCCGAAAACCAGCTGGCAACACGGAGGGACAAAGAGGAGCAGGAAGCTGCCGGCCTCACCTCAGTACATGAATGTATTTTATTCATCGCATTTTGTTCACCAGTACAGTGAAAAATGGCATTTAAATTTACAATGGATCGTTTGTAGAACATCATGACACAAGTATCTTTTTTTTTGATTTTTTTTTTTTTGAGTTTTTTTTCTCAGTTTTTTTGTTTGGTATTTTTTTGTTGTGTGGTTTGGTTTTTTTTTTTTGCGTCGTTGTCTCCATAAATGCCACTCGTAGGTTATTGAAAAAGATGATGAGTTTCTCATGCACATCAGAACCCCCCGAGAAGCTTCTTAAAAAATAAAATTAAATTAAAGTACAAAATTAAAAACAACGACTCAGGACAGTCCCTGCCCTCCCCACTTCCCCCCAGGCCCCACCACCCTCAAGCAAGGGGCAGTGCTGGGACTCCCCGGCACCGGCAGCCGGCCCCGGTGGGCTCTGCCCTGGTGCTGCCTGGAGGGGACTGCAGCAGCTGGTGGTGCTGCCAAACCCTCTGGTGCTCCTGCTGCTGGCAGGGGGTCGGGCTAGGGGTCCCTGCTCCCCTCCCTGCTCCTTTGGCTTTCCTCGTGCTCCCTCCATCACTCTGGCCCCCCATCTATTTCTTGCCCTCGGTTTTTTCTTCTTTTTTTGTCTTTTTTTTTCTTATGGAAAAAAATATGAACCTTTTTTTGTTGTTTGTTTTGTTTGTTTTTGTTTGTTTTCCTGATGCGGTTACTTCGACATCTCAACGTCAGCAGATCGTTTTTAACAAAGATTCGGATATAAAAATACAAATATGAGGAGTTTCTGTTTAAAAAGAAGCGTGCCGGAGTGGTGGGGCTGACCCTCGGCCCCCGGGCCGGCCGCCCGGGCCACCAAGCTCATGCAAAAAACGATGGAGCAAAAAATGTCTCTGGACAGCAGCGCTCCCCCCGTGCTCGTGGGGCCGGGTCGCCCCGGGATTCGGGGACCCTCCGCCAAGGAGGATGGGGGGGATGTGCCGAGGAGCAGGGGGCTGGACCCCTTCCCCG